GATTCAAATTTATGAAAATAAAAAATATATTCAACAAAGATAAAAATCGGTTTGTAACATCAAAGAATGATCAAAATGAAGAATTTTTTCATAAGAATCTAGTATAAGTAAATAGTCATACAATTGATCAAATAATCAAGTTGGGAGAGTGTGAACATAATATTGATTGAGTCAAAAAACAAAGAGAGTTTTATTTACAAGAAAAACAACTCACCAACTAGGAAAAAATTTATTCATAAGAAAAAGAAAAAAATATCATACATATAAAATAACCAAAATAACTAGGATTTATGCAAGAAAATGTGATTAATAAGGAAGATGAGGAGAATTTATCCTCAGCTGTAGAAGGTACTTCTTCTAAAAATATTATTTAGAAAAATTAGAGATCAAAATGTAATATTATTAAAACAAGGAGATCAAAGAGAATGAAGAAACCAAACACAAGACTATGAAATTATATTTGGAAAGTGGAAAAATAAGAACTGTGGAAACGAGAGAATTTCTATGAAGCAATAAAATCAAAAGAATGGAATGAAACAATTAAGCAAGAGATAAATGCCATTGATAGAAATAATACATGGAACTTAATAGATCAACCAAATTGAAATAAACCACTTGATTCTAAGTAGGTATTCAAAGCAAAAATAGAAAATATTAGAAATATTAAAAAATAAAAAGGAAGATTTGTAGCAAGAAGAGATTTTCAAAAAATTGGAATTTATTATTTTGAGACATTTTCTCTTACAGTGAAATGGGCATCTATGAGATAAGTAATAGCACTTATTACTTGAAGAAATGGAAAATCAGACATTTAGATGTAAAAATTACATTTCAAAATCACATTTTTGAAGAAGAAATATTTGTGAAGGTACTTGATGGTTGGAGAAATGAAAGCACAAAAATAGGGTATGTAAAATGAAGAAAGCTTTATATGGACTTTAATAAGCTCCAAGAGCTTAGTATTCTAATATAAACAATTATTTGAAAGATCAAAATCTTAATAAAATCAATAAAGATTATAATTTATATTATTGTATCTAAAACAAAAAAATATATGAAAATAAAGAGACTTCATTTTTAATTTTAGTTTTGTAAGAAATTTGAAGTAACCCTTCCATTTTTCTATTTTATTTATGATGTAATTTATTAAAGAATTTTGTTAAAATATAAGCTTGTTAATCTTTACTTGAAATAAACTCTACTATAATATTTTGATCAAGTATCATTTCTCTTATATAATGGTCTTATTATTCTACATGTTTCATTCTTAAGTGCAATACAAATTTGTTTGCGAGCTGTATGCAACTCATGTTATTACAAAAAAAATTAATTAATTCTTTCTTTTATATCAAGAGTTCTTCAAATAAAGTCCAAATGCTTGTGAGCTGCAATTAAAGTTCTAAAGCTTTTGAACTCAGCTTGAGAAAAAAAATTATCTTAGCTTGATATTATGACGTTGATCATTTTTAATAGCATAAAACTTTCTTGATTTTGAAATTCTACAAGGAGATTTACAAATTATAGTACATTGACGCCTACTAAATGTAAATAACAAAATCTGATGCAAAAAATCAACCGTGAAGTGGAAGAATTTTGACACAAATGTAAGAATCATCTAAGCCATCAGATAACAGAGTTGTATTTGTAAAACAAGTTAAACATTCAAAATTTATATAAAGAGAAAAAAAACAAACAACAAGAAGACAAGAAGCTTACGAACAATTAAAATTGAACCATAGTTTCAATGGAAATAATACATGAAGAAATAAATGCCATAATTGAATGAAGACTAATAAAATTAGAGTTGAAGGAAAGTGCTACATAATATAAAGAAGCAACCTTAGTTTAGTCAAGTCTGCTATAAGATATAACATAGATTTAAAATTAAAAAAAAAAAGAGAGATTGCAATATTAGTATGTAAAGAAGTTAAAATAATGAATTTAATTCATAAAAAAATTAGAAATTATTACATACAATGTAGTGTCAATTTTGTATATATAGCAATGAAAAATAATATGTTGAAGACAATCTTCAATGAAAATTTCCTTTACCTCTACTTATGACAATAACTTGACTTGGTCCAGACAAGTATAAGATTTACTACAACATGGAAGTAAAATATGAAAGACAATAGTTGGAGCTATGATGAGTAATACAAGTAATGGAAGTAGTTAGAAGGAGCGATCAAGTTGAATAAAGATATGAAGCTTGGAAGGAAGGCTTTGAAGAGCTTGTTGCTCTTTGGTCATTAGACAAAGCAAAGGTCTCAGTAAATTGTCATACAATAGACAAGCTTACTCTAATTCAATGGTATCTCAAGTTTCACTATCTTTCTTCTTTGCAAAGTTGGTATTGATCTATTCTTAAAGGATTTTGAGTTTTTTTTTAAAACTCCAATTATATATCTATAATTTAGGAATTTTTAATAATTTGTTAAAAATTAATAAAATATATATATAAAAAATTTGAGGCAGCTATCTAATAGCTATATTTGTGTACATATGGATAATGAATAGATGGTATAAAAAGATTAGAGGTCAAATTAGATACTTTTTTTGTAAAATTAAGTAGCAAGAATCCAAATGCAACATTTGATTGAATAGATTATTTTTGGAAATTAATGGTCATTTAATTGTTAAACTTTAGATAGAATTTAAAATTTAAAATCAATCTATTATCTTAAATTTAGTAATTATGAGTGTTGTCTAAATAGCCAATAGTAAGAAGATTTTGTATTAAGTACAAACTAAGGATTTAAGGATGTAAAAGATTTACGTTAAAACTATAAGAAAATAAATAAATTAAATACGTCTATATTTTTGCATCATGGCTATTATTATATTGTTTTAAAATTTTGACCTAGTAGTATAAGAAGGCATGTACTTACCACTTATAGCCTTTCCAATATATTATCTATATTAAAGAGAAATTATTATATATTAAATAAAAGGCTCTATCCATGGATTAGTTTGAAATGTTACCATGCAAATCATTGAAATTACATTGTTAGATTAAATAATTATATATATATATATATATATATATAATATTATAAAAATGAGTATCTTAGAATTAATATAAGATTCTTGAGTGCAACAATAATATCTTTAGAAGACAAGTAAAATTGATAAAACTAACAATTAAAATCACTTAAAGTACTCTTACAGTTATTATAGATATATATATATATATATATATATTCACCGATGACAAGAGCTCTAATTCTACACCATATGTAAGAACTTTACATTCTAATTCCTCTCCATTTTTTAAAATGTAGATCATGTGTTCACATTCACACCCTGCACATTCAACACTTAGATTAGGCGCATGTTGTTCTAATTCACATTTTGACAAGATTGTATCATAAACATCTAAAATAATGTTAAAGATATATTTTTGTCCAACTTGATTTCTATTAATATAATGTTGATGCACTACTCACGTGCCTTTTTAGAGTTGATTCACTCCACCTACTTCTAGGATGTCCACCACATGTATCCATCAAGTGTGCTGTTCAGTTACCATCAAAATCAACAATTTCTTTTATCAATTTAAATTCAAATGTCTGGTTAGCATCATACTTACGTGCATGCAGTCAATCACATTCTAGAAATACTAACAACCCAAAATTAGACACAAGTCAACACACAAAAGTTCACATGTTACATACACTACGTCATTTGTTCTGTTTTAAAAACTCCTTGGTATTTAATTCATTTTTTATTTTTAAAATGTTCTTCAAATGACAGGAGTCTAACCCACAAGAGATAAATCAGACCAAGATGATGTGTCACAATCGAGATTGTGTGCAACAGCTATTTTTTCCAGACGGGAACAAGAAGCTCCATAGCAACAGCAACAATGACAATAGTAACAAGTGCAACAATTACAACGTTTACTTTTCCATAAACATTGTAGTGAAATGTAGTGTTTTAGTGTCGCCTCGTGCTCATCGAAGGACCACGTCACCGCATCTTGTGTCGGCGATGGAAGCCTCGGGAGCAGCTATCGGAGGGGAGCCGACGATGAGGAGCAAGCGGAGACACATGCTAGACCCCAAGTCAACAAGCACATTAACTTGGTCGCACTAGATGGATGGGTTGGATTGGATCAGGTCGGAACGAAACGGAATCTAAGAGATGAGCGACAGCGCATGCTTGGATTCCGCATCTGGGGAGAGTGGTTTTTTCCCAGCTTACAATCGAGGCAGAATAATGGAATTTCACATGAGAATTAAGTCGGGGACAGACTTGGTGGGTCGGTGAATGGAGCTGTTTCGTTGTGCGCTAGCACCCACTTTGGAGCCCCCTGGTGGAGGCGGTGGCAGCTTGGACACAACCTCGCGCCTGCTGGAAGCCGTGCTACTCAGCTCCAAATCTACCGAGATTTTGCGAGTGAAGGATGTGTCTCGTATCGGTGGCGCCCATCCGCCTTCGATGGGGGAGCCCGATGACTTGAAACATTCCGACCACGTTGGGGACTCGTCGAAAGAGTCCCAGTCGGTGCTGGCGTTGCTCATCTGCGAGCTGCTGTTCGCTGGAGACGTCTGCACAAACAACGGCGGCGGGTTAGCCATGGTGAAGCCCGAGCGCGCTGGTCCACAAGATGGGAAAAGATGTGGGCGATACGGTGTAAAAGATGGGAATCTGTGTTATGGCACGTACGGAGGTGCTCCAACTTGCACTTCTGTGAGGAGATGGAGAGGATGGGTTGTTGCCAGATGCCTCATCCTTTCGATCGATGTCGGCTTGATCTGTTTTTTCTACCTTCGGGGTATGGGGATAAGAGCTGCACTTTTCAAAAGCTGGCCGCTGACATAGATCGCTGCTGCTGTAAGATTTGAAGGATTGGCTGCCAAATCCATGAATGCTTTTCTTCACAGTCTGGGATCGTCTACGCTCCTCCCTGAAATAATTTTCGTCCATTAGAAGTCGATTGACTTGCTTGGCCTTACTCTGAATAGCTGACCCCCTGTCAACCCTGCAACCGATTTTTGTGACATAAGTCTTTGTGGGATGGACAGGAGGATTTTAAACTGATTTCCGGATACAATATGTGACATTCCATAAACTAGAAATCCACGTTAGGGTCTGAAGCTTACAGATTTTCGTCCACAAACACGAAGTGTGTCAGGTCTCCAATGCGATTCTTGAGATCCCTGAACTCCACGAGGAACGACTCTGAACCATGAATTAGGAGATACTCCATGATAGTCAATGTTTTCAATACTTCCCTCCATTTTTTCGTCGCAGATAAGGCCAAACTGTACTCATAACATACACAGATTGAATATACTTAATAGACAGATTGCAATATACTCTACACACGTTTCAAGTATATAACCATATTTTAATTTTTTCGTACAGAAAATTCAAAATCTAGGGAATTGATTTACTAATCCTTTTCGCTTCAGGAGAAGGGAATGATAGGGAAGTTTACCTTCCGCGGAGAACATGCAAGATGCGCATGTAGTCATCGTAGTTCTTAGATGCATCTGAAATATCTGCCATCGTCTTTGATGTTGGCCCGCAGTCTTCGGCACTAATTGCATCCTCTATCATTCTGCGCACCAATACATTCACTTAGACTAACCCTAAAATCACAACATGCGCGTTTCTACAGATCGCAAATTGTACTATCAGATTTAAGCATGACGCAAGACATGAATCAAGCAATTTTGTGGCAGGAAATCTGCTTTCTCATCGATTGGGTTAAAATGAGGCGTACAATTCCGAAGCACTGACATCCACCAAGGCAAGGCGTGCAATCCTGAGGCCACCCCTAAAAAGAAATGAGGAAAGCTTTCCGAGCTTCGCCAGAGGCCCTGCTCCGTGTCCGCTTTTCTCCGCCATCTTCTCTAAGTCCATATTTCCTTCGACTCGTACACCTCCACTGAACGTAGAATAGACTCACCTTGTACTCAATGAAATTACCCGAATGGAAACATGCTTTCCAGGGTTGATGATAACATGACCCGACTCATCCTGTAAACTACCAGATTCTACAGACTTACAAACTCATCATGCTCGAATTCTTTCACAGCTGGATAAGCTATTCTGTGCAACTTGGACTGATTGCCACAAAGTCGTGGAGGAGCTCAGGGAATCCAGTCACAACAGCCCTGAATCACACCGCAATCTACACATATCAAGCAGTCCATATCATTAAGGATTTCGGTACAACGAACTGCACAGGATCTGTAACCTGAGCTCGAACAAATGCATGCACCCCAAAGCGCTCAAATATTGCAATGAGCATCACTCATGAGACACTCGGGAGCCACGTCCACAAACACTGATCTCATCCAGGCACTGGACGCCCAAAAACCCAATGCCACAGCATCCAAGTTTCACAGAAGTTGAGAGTCTAACGTCCTTTTTCCTCTCACCTATGGCAAACTCTGGGACGAACGCTGCATGAAGCCCTTCAGAGAGTCAGGACGTTATCTGTTCATACCAGAGAGCCGCCGGACAGAACATTCAAACATACCACCCAGCTTTCTATTTTAGAACATGTGATGCGTGTAACTCACACATTTGACAGCTGTTGGTGTCACTCGATTGGCTGTGCCAATGAACTATAAATTGTGGCGCACTTTGCAATTCACTGTTGTTGCTGTCGACAGAATTTTGAATTGAGCCAACAAAAGCAGGTAAATACCAGATTGTGTACTATGAAGGTTTGCATTCAAAATTATCCTCAGACATCGGCCTGCAGCTTCATCCGTGAAGCCTCAGAACCGTGACCACCGTCGTCGGAGGAACGTGCTGCTTGATGCCAGGAGACCCTAACGAAGGGGAGTAATTAGCATGTGGTGGGAATATGTCAGAATCTGTAGGCGCTTCCAGCTGGCTTATTCCTGGGATTGTGATCTGGATTGAATGTGCAGAACAAAATCCAAACTAGGGCTATTCTAAGTTAGGGCACATCCAGATCTAATGGCCATGTAGCAACTTTGTTTAGCAATTTGGAGCAGTTCCTCACTACCCCATGCTCTCTAATCCCACGTTGCCGAGGAAAGAACCGAGAACTTAGTCACGAGTTCTCACTAGCGTCTGCATCGCTCTGACTTTGTTGGGTCCCAATCCTCTGCTGTCAGCACAAATCGTCCACCTTTCTCTGTAAGCTCTAGTTCATCAGATTGGCGACTCAAACCCTCGTCACAAAAGACCAATTGCTCACCGAGCTCACTGCATTTGTCGAGGCTCGGCAGTTTCACTCCCGCATGGAATCACTGACGTCCTAACTCGAGATCCACTCTCTAGTTACCTAATCACGAAATCACACCCATGCGCAGAGTGAGCACTCCAAGTTGCAGAACACTAGCATCTAGACCTCAGAAACTGAAGCGACCTTAGAGGCAGCTCCGGAACAATGCCTTCGTCACAATCCTTTGGCACATTCGACCTCACTAGCGATGTCATGAATTCAAGGGGGAGCCCATTCCGTGCAATAAGAGAGATAGACGGTGATGAGCCTGCAAATACATTGAGCCTGACAATCATGCAACATTGCAGCAATCATGTGGCCCTGAGATTAAATGCGAATCTGAAGTAAAGTAAAGCTCGTTTAGCTGAAAAACCCAGAAAACTTTTGCAAAGTGGGTACATCGGTTGTGACCCACTTTGATGCAAGATGTAGAAAAAAAAAAAAAAAAAAAAAAAAAAAATACACACACACACACACAACTTAACACAATTAAACGAACCATTCGTATTAAGTTCTGTTGCTCGGTTCTTGATGAATTTAGTGGACCTGGAACTGATTGCTGGATATGAGTAAAGATGTTGCATTCAAAGTACTGTGCTCAATTTTAAATCATTGCTTATACTAACAGGTTATTGTTTATAAGAATAGTGTTAATTAGTGTTACCAATGTTGCTTACTAACTGTTTGTTTTCTTTAAACAAAAGGAGTGTTCTATGGCTCAAAGTGTGTTTGTTCAGTGCAAGTTGAGCTTGTTGATTGTGGTATTGTCTCTGATATTTCATTTGGTGGCACCCACCATGTTTGTTTGGAATTATGTTGCAATGGGTGTTGATCGAAATCCTTTATTTGTTGATTTTACACTTCATGTGTGAAGACGGCTTTGTAATGTTATAAAATGGTAAGGTACAAAGGTTTTAAGTGCTTGAATATTGATGAAGAGTTGAACATTAAATACATTGATTTATACCTTTTCCCGTATAAAGAATGCTGAACTCTGATTTGGCAAAGATGGGACTTCTCAATTTACTATTTTCATATTCAGTTACAGCAATTTATTAAAAAAATAAAATAAAAATATCATTTTCAAAATATTTGCAAGATGTACATATGTTTCGAATGTGAAATTACCATATTCAGAGCCTCAAAATGAAAAAAGAAAAAGAAAAAGATAAAAATAAAACAACTTAAATCCACTACAAGTTTATTCAAGTTGTAATTAGGTAGAAACTTGTGGATAATTACTGTATCTAATACAAATAAAAATATATATATTTGCTAGAAAATAACTAATCAAATTTAATTTAATTTTTTTTGATTTAGTTTTTTTATATAATTTTTTAATGTATGCCAAACATCCTCAAAAAATTAGAGAAGTATCAAAAATAGTGATTCTTAAATGTTTTGATACACCAAAAAGATAAAAATGTATGTTTTTGAAAATTTATCAAATAAAGGATATTAATTTATGTATATTGATAAATATATATATATATAATTTTTTTAAAGTAGCATTTTAACATGATACTAAATAAAAATTTTTAAAAAAATGTTTCAAACTAATTTATAATAATAATTTAAGAATCAATTGCAACTAAATTTAAATTTAAAATAAGCCTTAAACCAACTTATTAAATGACATGTGTACTTTTTAGAATTAAATTTCTTATTATTATTTTTAGTCAATAATCGATATTTATAATCAATAATTACAAGATGATTTTTTAAATGATTAAAATCATAGTATTTTATAGTAGTAAAAAGTAAAAATTAATAGTTTGGATAGTTATTTATCTAAACCAATAATTATTATTTTATTATAGATATTTAATATGAATAATAAACTCAAAAATAATCAAATAGTTAATAAAAATTAACTAATTAAATAAAAAACTATTATTTATTATATTTCCAAAAAAAATTAAATAATTTTCAATACTTTATATAAGGTGCAGATTACCAAATATATCTTCTTGAACTATTATAAAGTTATATAAAAAAATATAAGAAAATATAAATCTTACAAGCACTAATTAGAATATAAAACTAATTTTTTTTTAATAAATTTTTAAACTTGGTAAAAGTTTAGAATATGCCAAAAATTTTAATATATCACAAACATATATATTAATTCTAGTATTTATTTAGATAAAAAGAATTAGATAAAAGTATGTAAATTTAATAATATCTTAAAGAGAAGCTTTTTAGAAACTTCATAGATATGGATTTGATTTTCTAAGTGTTTGTAGGTTATTGGTTGATTAAAAATTTGGCAAATATGTAGCCACTTATTGTACAAGTTGGCTATATAATACACATGTTGGTAATTTGTCTTGCAAGTTAAACTTGTATCTATTAAGTAAGACATATTAGAAATAATCAATAGAATATTGCTACATAATTCTTTAATTAAATAGTATATCTAGAAGCAAGAATGAGGGCCTTCATCACTCTCGCCTAATCTTTTATTGATTCTAATCTAATTTCAAGAGTTTATAGTTTTCTTATCTTTGCCATTAATCATTTTAGTTTCTTCAAAAATACATTTTTTTTTTATTCTTTTTATATCAATTTTCTTTAAGGCTTTTCTCATCTATTTAATTACATTCTTCAAATATTTGTTCTTAACAAATTGACAAGAATATACTTATAATATCAAAAATATATCTTTTAAATTAGAAGTTCTAGATTATTCACTTTTAAATTAATTTTTTTTTCTTAAGTCTTCTATTTAATTTATCTTAAGTGACATTAGATATCTATTTTTATATTATATTGTTATAAAATATATATATATATCATACTACTCAATTTGACTTCTTAAGATACATAATTTGAAATGGTGGCCTTATGATGGATCTCAAGAAGGTCAAGCCTATTATGGATTGGAAGATCTCAAAAATAGTTTAAAATGTGTAATATTTTTTTAGCAATTTATCAATTATTATCAAATCTTTATCAAGAATATTTTTAGTTGAATATTTGACTTATAAAGACAAAATTAATTGGAATAATGAAGCTGAAGCATCTTTTGAAGCTTTAAAGATAACATTTAATCTTGCATCAATTTTTTATTGTGTTGACTTTTCTAAAAGATTTTTTATAGAAACTTATGTTTTGAACTTTGCTTTGAATGTGTTTATTGGCACAAATGAGAACAGATAACAAATTCTACCTAGAAGCTTTCCATTCAAGGAAAAAAATTAGCAATTAAGATTAAGTATGAGATCCACAACAAAGAGCTTCTTATAGTTATAGATTTATTTTAAAAATGGCATTATTATTTAGAAAGTGCTTCTAATCTAGCTATCATATATACAAACTATAAGAATTTCAAATATCTCATATCAATACATATTTTGAATCATCACCAAAATTATTAGAAAATATTATTATTAAGATTTGATTTCAATATCACTTATCAATTGGAAAAATAATAAGATTTATCAAATTTCTTTTTTAGATATTCTTATCTTATACAAAAAGTAATAAAATAACTATTAATTAATAAAAAATAATCTACTTGAAGTTAAAATAATTTCATCTTTTAGCAATGAAATCAACATTATTTGTTGATTTAATCTTTTTAAAGAAATTTTAATCAAATATGTCTTTTGATTCTTTTATTTATGATATTAAGAATAATTCTTATAAATCTCATGATACTACTAAATTAAAATTTAAAAATAATTTATTCTATTTTAAGAGTTATTAATATATTTTAGAAGGTATAGTATAATTATTTATTTTTTATGCTTATCACAACTTTCTAGCAATAAGACATTTTGGATATAATAAGACTTTAGAATTAATTTTTAAAGATTTTTGGTGGTCTTTAATATAAAAAGAAATCAAAGAATTTTTTTATTTTTGTGACATTTTTTCAAGACCAAATTTTTTATCATCCATTCTATATACTTCTTCAGCCATTACTTATTCTAAAATAATCATAGTCTTTTGTTTCTATAGATTTTATCACAAATCTTCTAGCTTCAAGATCTTATGATTCTATATTTGTGATAGTATATTATTTCACTAAGATAACATATTTTGTATCTTGTACAAAATCTATTGCAGGTGAAGAAACAATTAAGTTTTTTCTTGACATTATTTACTACTTTTATAAATTATCAAAGAATATTATATTGGATAAGAAGACTTAATTTGTATTAATATTTTTAATTTTCTTAAGGTTCTAAAAGTAAACATAAATATAATGTAGGTTTTTTATTCTTAAATTGATAGTCAAATTAAGTGAATAAATCAAATTTTGGAATAATATTTGAGGTTTATCATCAACAACTAACAAGATGATTAAACAACATTTTTACTATTGGCAAAGTTTGCTTCTAATGATATAATATATTTGACTATTCAACAAATATATTTTTTAATTAATTATGATTATCATCTATAATTTGATACTTTTGACTTTTCAAAAATTGATAATCTTGTACCAAAAGATTTGAAAAATTGTTCATTAGAACTACGTGTAATAATGAACGTATAACTAAAAGAGACTCAAGAACAAAAATTAAACAATATAGATGCCTATCCCAAGGAACAACCTCAATTCCATTCTGGTAATAGGGTATGTTTATTTTATTATAATATTAAGACTATTTGTTCTTTTGATAATTGAATTATTATAGACTTGGAATATTTTTTATATATAAAAAAATCAATCTAGTTGCTTAATGATTACAACTTTGAAAGACTATGAAGATCCATCCTATATTTTTTTATGTTTTTTCTTAGGCCATACAAGATAATAGATATATTAGAAAGAATATAATTTCCACCACCTTCTATAGAAGTAAATAATAATGAATAATATGAGGACAAATACGTCCAATTGATAGCAACACCAAAATAGGTTGAAATATCTTGTTCATTGGCATAAATATGATATTAATAAATACACATGGAAGCTTTTAAAGAAACTTGCAACTACAACAAAGAAGGTTGATGTTTTTTTTATTGATAATAACCATCAAAATCAAGATAAAAGAAAATAAATCTTTGCTATAAAAGACACAAGGTCCAAAAAAGATTGCATTCTACTTTCTATCTTTATTTGTAGTTTTTTTTGTATATTTGTAGTAATAAAGAGATGGAAAACCAACAATCATAGATTCAACTTAAGAACTATTATTTGTTGATTTATTAAATAAAATATTGTAATTTTTACAACTTTCAAGACAACATAATAGAGATGTTGATCCTCAAAAATGACATATTTTTCTTCTTATAGATGGCACAATACAACGCATTTGAGATGATGACCTTG